GAGATAGAGAGCTAGAAACATCGATGAGAGAGAAACATCGATCAGCTGCCTCCTGCACATCCCCCACTGGGGATGTGCCCGCAACCCAGGCACATGCCCTTGACCGGAATCGAACCCGGGACCCCCCAGTCCGCAGGCCGACGCTCCGTCCACTGAGCCAAACCGGTTTTGGCCTAATCGAGCTTTTTACTGATGCTGACATTCAGACCATTAGACGCTGGTGACCCTCCCGTCATCTCTTGTTCGGTTTCAGCAGAGCCGTGAACAACCCCAAGCACCTGCAGCACAGGCCCTGCTCCTGCTTCCTCAGAGCCGCTCACGGGACCAGAGGCATGACTCAGGCTGCTCAGCTCTGCACCATCAGCTCACACACCTGCACCTCAGCTCCTCCGGTCACAGACCCGGAGAGGAGGGCTCTCACACACGGCGCCAGGGCCGGCCCGGGCATCGGGGTCTCACACACACGGCGCCGGAGCCAGCACAGGCATCGGGCTCTCACACACGGCGCCGGAGCCAGCACAGGCATCGGGCTCTCACACACGGCGCCGGAGCCAGCACAGGCATCGGGCTCTCACACACGGCGCCAGAGCCAGCACAGGCATCGGGCTCTCACACACGGCGCCGGAGCCAGCACAGGCATCGGGCTCTCACACACACGGCGCCGGAGCCAGCACAGGCATCGGGCTCTCACATACGGCACCGGAGCCAGCACAGGCATCGCGTCTGTGCTGGTTCCCACGGGCCCCAAGTCCCATGTCGGGGCAGGGGTGCCCCGGGGGAGCCCGCACATGCAGTAGCCCGGGCTGTCGGAGGAACAGGAGCGTGGGGACCCACGAGGTTACGACATGACAAGCAGTGGGCAGGCTCTCTGTCCTGGAGGGAGGCCCCAGCCCCTCAGTCAGGGTGCAGGCACCCGGCACGACCCTGAGCCGAGGCCTGTCTGGGGTGGGAGGTCAGGGTCCCGAGCCCACCTCTCGGGCATGTGCCTCCTGCTGGGCTCGTTTCCACACAAGCGGGCATCCTGTCCTTGTGCCACGGCTGTCAGGTGTGAAATCTCATTTCCTACAACTCACAAGCGAGGATGGAAGCTGGTTACCGTCTCGTGGATATGGCTCGAGTCAGAGGCGGAGGGCTCATACCTGGGCCCAGGAAGATGGCCCCTCTCAACAACCGACCTGCACCAGCTCCTGACGCTCACGTGTCATACCCACCCGAGGAGCACTCTGTCCACAGCCACGTTGGTGGAAGAAGAAACCAGCACTTTCCACGGCCGTGCACGTCCCACTGCGGGAGCCTCACTCTTTTCAAACAGCTGCACCAGAAACAGAATCACCACTGCCAGCAAGTAGCTCTTTCCTGCTCCAAAAACTCCTGGTTTGGAAGGAAGGCAAAAACAAAGGCGGCGTCATCAGTACATTTCTGAAAGCACAAGAAATAGTGTCACCTTCTCCCTCTCCTTCTTGTCACTAAGTCATTACAAGACCATGAGCAGAGCGCCCACGATGTGCTCAGCACCAGGATAAATAGATGACCAAGCAAGGCCTCTCAGCGCAGGGGTTCTCAACCTTCCTGATGCCGCGACCCTTTCATACAGCTCCTCATGTGGTGGTGACCCCCAACCATAACATTATTTTCGTTGCTACTTCATAACTGTAATGTTGCTACTGTTATGAATCATCATGTAAATATCTGATATGCAGATATAGTCTCATTGTTACAAATTGAACATAATTAAAGCATAGTGATTAATCACAAAACAATATGTAATCATATATGTGTTTTCTGATGGTCTTAGGCGACCCCTGTGAAAGGGTCATTCGACCTCCAAAGGGGTCGCGACCCACAGGTTGAGAACCGCTGTTTAGTGGCTTAGGAAGGCAGCCAGGGAGGGAACAGTAAGAACAGGACACGTGGGGGGAAGTGGCCAAAGGGGTCGAACAGCGTGAGGGGAGGAAACTGGCCTCAGCACAGACGTCGTTACCACCTGTGCCCCCGAGACTGTCGTGCTGTTCATGCTGCCCCAGTACAGTCAGTAAATAGTGAACGTGGTGAGGACGCTGTGATGGGTACAGGCCACTGGTGCCCATGCTGCTCTCACAGCCTCTAAAGTGGGTCCCAACATCTCAGAGTCCTCCTGGGATCGCACTGACTAGAAGGGGCAGAGGAGCAGACCAAGTCCCCAGAGACTCATATACAACCAGGTGCTGGGCTGCACGGGGTCCCCACACCCAGGTGTGCCCGGCACCCCCCGGCCCTCACCGTGGACGATGGTGATGGGGAGGGGGCAGGCGGGCGGCCCCTCCCCCGCCTGAGCAGGCCCACGCGCCGCCACCATGCGCGCTATCTGGGCGAGAGCGGCAGCCTGGTCCTCGTTCAGCTGGTGGGCCTGGATGAAGGCGCTGGCCAACTGCAGGGCTGCTCCTGGGCCGGGCAGCTCACAGTGCGTGTGGGTATTGGAGAAGGCGGGCGGGACGAATCTTCTCTTGTCCACACTCTTACTGCTGACTGCAGCTGACGAAGGCCTAGTAAAAGGAGCAATAAATCAAAGAAAAATGAGGGGCTTCTGAAACAGGGGAGACCTGTTTATAACTTAACCTTCACTTACGAGCACCTCAGAGAATGTCCTTCTGTGAGCACCAGTGAGAAAAGCACTGACATTTGTTGAATACCTACAACGCGCAGACCCTATGCTGAGTACCGCACATCTTAGCTGGGATCTTCACACTGGGAAGCAGTTAATCTACCAAACAGAGACACGGAAATATTAAACGTTTCTCCCACAAGTACCCAGCTGCTAAGTGGTGTCTGACACGGAGCCCAGGCCTTACTATGCAAACTGGCTCAGGAAATTAGTAGAGATAAGCTGGCTTTAGTACATAAAGACTGAGTTCATTTCAAAGTAGAAAAATAACATATTGAAAGTACACAGACTTTTTTAACCCAAGACTTCATTGTGGTAAAAAGAATGAAACCAAATAGACCATAACATTCCAAATTGGAAACTAGTTTTGTCATTTTAATTTAATAAAATATCACTTCCAATTTTTTTAAAGGAGCTATAGTACTTGGAAAATTAAAAATGAGATAAAGATTATGTCAAAAATAAAACTAGTAGCAATATACATACTGGATTCAAATTGTAAAATAATTACAGTGGGGACTTGACTTACGAGTGTCCCAACTAACGAGTTTTTTGAGATACCAGCTGTCTCTTGGCCGATTTTTTGCATTGAGTTGATAGAGTAATTTGAGTTAACAGCTCCTTAACGAGCTCAGTCTCAGAACGAATTAAACTCGTAAGTCAAGGCCCCACTGTAGTTAAAAGTTTGGCCCAGCTGGTGTAGCTCAGTGGTTGAGTCGATTCCGGGTCAGGGCACAGGCCCAGGTTGTGGGCTCATCCCCAGTGGGGGGCGTGCAGGAGACAGCCAATCCATGTTTCTCTCTCATCACTGATGTTTCCCTCTTTCTCTCCCCACTTCTATCTCCTAGTCTCTGAAAGACAGTTACAATTTTGCTGCCAAATGGGATGTACTGTTGCTGGGTGCCACACCCACCCGCAGGGGCAGGACTTACATGGCCAGCAGGTGCTGCGTCAGAGGCAGGGTCGCGGGGCTGAAGTGCTCCCGCATGTTTTTCAGGGTGGTCAGCTCCGTGCTGGCGTTGCAGACCCACAGCGCGTGGACGACCGCTGCAGAGAGGGCGCGGAGAGGAGCATCAGTGCCCACGACAAAGACCGGGAGCACCTTAGGGGGTGTCCACGCAGCTCAGAGCCGGCACTGAACCAGCCCCAGGCCGCAGCAAGCCCTCGGCACACGTCTGTGTCCTGCCGTCTGCACAGGCACACTGAGTGTGGATCCGTGACTGTGCCCGAGGGGCGTGGACAGAGGACAGACACGGCGGAGTCACGCGGGTGACACGCGCAGCCACCAGCCAGCACCCTGCCCTGTCCCTGCAGCATCTGTGTCATTCTGAGCACGCTGTTGCATTTTCAGTTACTCCACAGAACTATTGGGAGGCAGGAGACTGGACACTGATATTGGTGAGGGCTCTGAAGTGACCAATGTTCACTCCACTAGACAACTGGACTCCAGCTGTCTACTCAGCTCCCACAGAAAACAGGGCGTTGGCCGGGCTGGCAGCTGAGTGCTGAGTGTCGGCCTGCGCGCCAGAGCGTCTTGGGTTCCCTTCCCACTCAAGGGCACGTACCTGGGCTGCAGGTTCCATCCTGCCCCCATGGGGTGGGTGCGGGCGGCAACCAATCCGTGTGTCCCTCACGTTGATGTTTCTCTCTCACTTTGCGTCCCCCCCTTGCACTCTCTCTATAAAAATATCCTCGGGTGAGGATTCACACACACACACACACACACACACACACACACGCTAAAACGTGTATGAAACACCTGAATGAGTCATTCAATGCTGTGTCTTTAATTAGTCAGGCGAACCCCGGACATCGGAAATTATCCCAGAGCTGCCGAGCGGGAGGCGCCCAGGTTCACGAACGGGGGGGCACTGGCCCTTCAGTGAAGGAGGTGGCGGCCCGGCCTCACCAGGCGTTTCCCAGGCCGAGGACAACCGCCCTCCACATGAAACACCCTCCACTCAGCTGCTCTCAAATCCCTGCAAATCTGAGAACGTCTCGGTGTGAAAGTAAATGATGTGTTTACCACGTGCCCTACTAGCGAGAGAAACCAAGGGAACTCAGTGAACCACGAGAATAGGACTTAATGCAAGAAATTATGTGACAAAATTCCTATTTAGAAATGAGGTACGTGCGTGTAAATTCCACCCCAGACACAGCCCAGGGAGAAGTGGGTGCTTTTTCTCGGCTTTCATCGAAGAACCCACCCAAGCCAGCACCCCTGCTCGCAGTGCGCCTCACGCCGTCCTCTCTGTGGTAACAGGCGGCCGGGCGATACTCACTGTCCATGGGCCACCGGGAGGGGAAGTAGCCTTTCAGAGGGAGCAGCTCCACCTCGTTGGCGGACGATGGCCCGAAGAACGCGCTGCAGGCGATGAACGTGTCCAGCTCGAAGTCCAGGGTTTTGGAGACCACCCACAGATCGTCTGCAAACAGACGTGGCGAGGGCTCGGGACGGTGCTCAATCCAGAGCTACTCGGATTGCCTAGGTGCTAGTCCTACATTATTTCTCAACAAACAAAACTGGTTATTGTCATCTGCAAGATTCCACCCAAATGAGGACCTGAACATCTCCATGGTTTTAACTAGATTACTCCCATGGTTCTAAAGTTATTTTATCATTATAAAAAAGTGTAAATAAAACAGACATCTAACTCGTCTCTTCTAGAACAGCCTTATAGCTACATCAGACTTTCCCCAGGTAGACGATTAGTCTAGAGCAGTGATTTCCAACCTTTTTCATTTCATGGCACACAAACTAGTTACTAAGATTCTATGTGGCACACACAAAATATACTTTTTGCTGATCTCACACACAAAAAATAGGTTACAATTTTAAATCACGCATACTGGATGGCTATTGTTGGTTGGCTGTTGTCAATTTTTATCTGACAATCTGAGGGAGAGGTAGGGCCCCTGACTCAATAGGCAGGAACTGCATGTTTGAACATCCCTGCGGCACCGGTGAAAACCGCTGGTCTAGAGAGATGCTCTGCCGTGCAGTGGTTTCCATGCTCAGAAAAGGCTGGCAGTCCAGGGACGGAAGGTAGTCCCTCCCCAGACCTCCGCTGGCCTGAGGCTGCGGAGATGAACCGTGTGCCTTCTCCATATCGAGCCTGCCCCCCATCCCCAGCGCACACTGCTACCCGAGACCAGCAGGACCCCGCACGCCACCTGATCACAATGTCTACCACCAGCAGAGTTGATGCCTGCAGAGTCAACTGTAGCCCTGGCCGTGGCTCAGGTGGCTGAGCGTCACCCTGTGCCCTGAAAGGGCACCTATTCCGTTCCTGGTCAGGGCACACACCCAGGTGGCAGGTTCGATCCCCATCGGCGTGCGCACGGGAGGCAACCGATGAATATTTCTCTCTCACATCCATGTTTTTTTTCCTTGCTCTCTATCTTAAATCAATAAAAACATATTTTTTTAAAGAAAGTTAAAAAAGAGAGTCAACTGTATTTGTCTTTTTTTAAACTGCTTTTGTTCTAAAACTTATTTATACCAGTTGTACCTGTTGTTATAATCATATAACTTAATCATGAATTATTTCAACCATTATGAATATGAAGAAAAAAACTGTTTTAAGAAAACCTAAGGGAACAATTTAGAAAACTTAATTTAAAGGCTTTGCTAAAGAAGGGGACCCAGAACACAAAAACTGCTTCTGACTCAAGTGCAGAGGAGATCAGTGTAAAGCATGAGAAAAGAGAGCGAACAACGTATATCCCTCTCCACTCAGACTCCGAGGTGCCCGCGTCCTTGCCCAGGTGACGGGTCAGGTGGCGCGTTCGCAGGCGGCGCCCTGTGGGGATGGCTCATACGAGGACGATGAACCGATCTCCAATCAAAACCCACATTCTGAACAAAAGCCTGGACTCTGTCAAAAGCTCATTAATAAAACTGTCCGTGTATTTTAGGGTAAAATGCTAACAGCTCAGATGCATTATCTGTAACCTGACTCTAAACACCTGTACAACCACCTGGCCCGGAGGAGCCTCCCGGCCTCAGGGAAGACGGCCGACGCACAGCAGCGCACGCACGGCTCGCGGTCCTGGGCGGAGGCTGTTCAGCCGGCGCTTTCCACGCCACCCAGCCACCGGCCGCCTTCGCTTTATGGTCACTAGTACCAACGCCCCGAGAACGATCATTTTAGTGAATATGTGCAGGAAACTATTTCAGAAAAAGCTGAGCTACACCGCAGTGTATTTTATTCCTAATTTATTTAAAAGTGTTTACCAATTGAGGTAACACATCTAAACGACGTATTCCCATTCGCTAATGTTCCCTTTCTTCAACGTTTGCCACGATTCGCAGGAAGATGTTCAACTCACGACAGCTGGCAGGCGTGTGCTCCTGCTCCGTTCCCCTCGACCCACCGCAATGACTGCACAGAACAGGGCCGTGCAAAGGCCACCCCTTCCGAGAAGGGAGGCTCTGATGGAATGGTAAGACCTACGAAGCTGGGGAACTGCTAACCCCTGTAGATGACAGGAATTCTAGGAGGAAAAAGAAAAGACAGAATTTTCTCGGGGACTTCAGGGAACCCCCACGCTCGGCAGCCACAGGAACCCTAGCTGTGGGTGCAGGAAGGGGCGGTGCCTCACTCCTGACACTGACACTGGGCATGTGACCCTCAACACGGCGGCTCAGGGCAACGCCAAGGGCCGGGACCAGGGAGGCTCTGAGTGAGGAGGGCGGCCACGGGCACGAGTCCTGGCACCATGACCAGGGAGCGGGTCAGTCATAGCAGGTCTCGATCGACGGGGGTTTGTTGTTAGGAAGACTCAATAGCTATGTCACATTCTGGGCCCACAGACATTGCAAATGTCAGGCAGGTATTATTACTGTTATTCTCTGAACAGACACGGTAAGTAAATTATCCACAGACAGAGGCCATCACGGAGGCCGGGACTGAGCCGTCTCCTTGAGCCACGGGAGCACCGAGCCCGGCCAACCTCCCCCGATGCTGCCAGAGAACAGCTGAAACCCAGGGGAAGCGGGTCTCAGGCCAAAACAGTGACCCACTGAAGGGACACAAAGACTTGCATAGAAAACACTGGGCCTCAGAGCCCTTCAGAAAGGAGGCACCGGACAGATGGACAAAGAAGGTGTGAGCCTGGGAAAGGGGGGAGAAGTACGGGGAGGAGCAGCGTGCAAATGGAGCCAGAAACACTGAAAAGGACAGGAACAGTGTCTGTCTGGGGAAATGTGGCAGTTAAAGTAATAATCAATGGGATACACAGAGGACGGATACGTTAGAAAATAAGCAATTTAGAAGGAAGACAGAAAACCCAGCCAATACAAGAGAAATGTGAAGCGATTTAGAGATGACATTCAGAAGTGCTGACATCTGAATAGTGAAAGTCCTAGTGAAATAAATAAAAACAAGAGGGAAATTACCTGAAGAAATAACGGAGATCAATTTCCCAGCACTGAAAACACAGTGTTTCCCGATACGTACAGGTACGCGCTGCACTTCAGGCTCAATGATGATGCCATGAAGGCGCCGCATGAAGTGACCCAGTGAGAAAAAAGACACGGGAACCAAGGTACCGGCACAGAAACCAGGAAATCATCCCAGAGAAAAACAGCCACGATGGAGCCCGGACCGAAGCCGTGGGCGTTCCAAACCCCCCACCTCGCCTTGGGCCGGACTCCGAGTTCCCTCTGAACCCCAGAAGGCACCGCGGACCCAAAAAGGGAAGAGTGGCATCACACAAAGAAAAGTCCGACAGCTCACGCAGCGACAGAGATGGAGAAGGGGGGCGGGGAGGGGCTGGTGACAGCACCGAGGAAAGGCCAACGGGCCTCCCTGTCTGAGGACAGTGACCGTGGGGACGACATCTTCACTGGGAACGGCAAACGGACATGGGAAAGGAAAGCAGTTGCCGGTCTTCTGTTTTGGAACAAAAATCACCCGAAAAAGTGTTCCCTGAAGGAGACACGCTTGAAACTCGTCAGGTATGAGAAATGACCAAACAAGCCAGCGAAGAGGCGAGGGAGTTGGCTCAGAGCTTGTCCACGCACACGATCTAAAAGCTCGAGAAGAAACCGGAGAACAGGCTCCGAAAGCAAAGCCCAGGTTTCCAGGGGAAGGAACCTCAACCCAAGCGCAGTCACCAAGAGCAGAGAGGCCGCACGCAGAACAGACGCAGCTGCCTGCCTCCTGGGACGGCGTCAGGACGTGCTGTTCCTGGGGAAAAGCCACGTGATGACCGAGCTTGACCATCTAAGAATTCCTGTTCTGCCTTTGTTGTTTTTTTAACCAGCCCATGATTTAAACTCGTATAAATTTTTCTTTTGAAAGTTATTTTCAAAAGAATAAATCTCTTTTGAGGATAGAAATATTTTACTCTTTAAAGCTACTCCTGTCTTAAAAATATATATACTTAATTAACTTCAGAGAGGGAGGAGAAACATCAATGTGAGAGAGAAACACCTATCGGTTTTGCCTTCTGCACACAACCCACTGGGCACGGGGGATCGAACCCGCAACCTGGGCGGTGCCCTGACTTGGAAGCGAGGCAGTGCATGGGTCGGCGCTCAACCAACTGAGCCACCTGGCCAGGCAGGCCTGTTGATGTCTGTTTCCTTTTTAAGTTTGTTCAAGTTAGGGTTACATAACTTTCCCATAAGCCAACTTCATAAATTGATTTTTTCCATTTCCCTTTTCATTAAATTTATTGGGAGTGGCATTGGTTACATAAATTGATTTTTAAAAATATGCCCTGACTGTTCCCTTTATAAAAGAATTATGAGGCCGAGACCGGTTTGGCTCAGTGGATAGAGCGTCGGCCTGCGGACTGAAAGGTCCCAGGTTCGATTCCGGTCAAGGGCATGTACCTGGGTTGCAGGCACATCCCCGGTGGGAGATGTGCAGGAAGCAGCTGATCGATGTTTCTCTCTCATCAATGTTTCTAACTCTCTATCTCTCTCCCTTCCTCTCTGTAAAAAATCAATAAAATATATTTAAAAAAAAAAAGAATTATGAGGTTATAATTCTCAGATTTCCTCATTTGTACTTATCATGAAGTGAATTAGGTCTGTGTTTCTTTGCCTTGAAAATAAATGTTGAGATACATTTAAAATAATAATGGAATAAGAGGAAATTGTAGCTTTTTAAAATAGGTCATCTTTGCTAAAAATTATTAGCAAAACTAAGATTAAGATAGTAATGTTTATTATGAGTATACAGATAATAAACTATACAACTAAATATTAATTTTTATTATAGTTTTAAATATTTGTACTTTTTGACTGTTTTAGTTTTCCAGGACAATTTTGGATTTCTGAGTTATATTCCAACTATTTAGGCAACATACATTGTTTTAATGTAGCAACACAAGCAAAAATTGGTTTTATATTTCACTGCATATAAATATTTCTGTTAAACCAGAATGTACAACATCTAATTACGCGGCTACGTGCGCTTAGAGACATTTTGAGGAGCCGCAGGTTGGGATTCAGGTGAACAAACTGTGTGTGTGTTGGGGGGGGTGGGGGGGATATGCCCACGGACAGCCCAGGTGGCTCACTGAGGCAGGGACTGCACTACGCATCCTAGTCCTGCTCGTGAAAGGAAACAGGACTTCAGTCCCTTCCACAGTCACCCCCGCTGCTCTGCGGGAAGTAAAGGTTCTTGGTCAATTAGGTAGAAGTCACAGCATCTGAAAGATAAATACAGAGCGAGTTCACAGAGCCCGAGGCATCGACCGATCACCCGCCCTACCTTTGCTGTAAGCCGAAGAACTTTCCTTCCGACTCAGCCTGAGATACAGTTTGCTTTTAGGTTCAGGATACAGTTCAGGGTGACCGGTCGCAAACTTCTTAAGTTTGCCATACTGTTTTCTTTGAAAATCAAATCCTTTTCTGCAAAACGAGTAAAAAACAAAAATGAATTTGAATATTAAGGTACAAATTTTTTGTTAATTGAAATATAATTGGCACATACTTTATATTAGCTTCAGGTGTACACCGCAGTGATGCTAATAGACAGTGAAATGACAACTACGGTAAGTCTCGTTAACATACATAGTTACCAATTTTTTTCTTGTGATGAGAACTTTTGAGATTTATCCTTAGCAACTTTTAAACAGACTATATACAGTATTGCTAACCATCGTCACCATGCCATACGTGACACCCCCAGGACTAATTTATTTCATAGCTGCAAGTCTGAAGGCACAACTGTTTTAAAATACAGCAGGGAAGGACCAGGATGGGTGTGCTCATGCTTTCACACACACACAAAATAAAAACATACCGCGTCAGAGGAGGAGCCAGCAGCCCCCATGGAATTATCACTGTTTTAAGAGACTGAGATAGAAACAGTACCAGCACCTAAGGAGCTGCTGTAACGGGAAAGGGGACAACCAGTTAGGCCCCGATCTCCGCTCCTACAGGTGATGCGACGACTGAAGAGACACGCAGTGCTCAGCTGAGTGCCGGCACCTGGGCGCTCCCAGTGCACGCTGTTCTCTACATTCCCATGCACATGCTCAGTACAGCTCCCTTTTGGGCAGTCCTGCTGCTATGAAACGTGTTTCCAAACGCAGCGCTGTACCTGCAGTCCGGCTGTGGCAGCCACCACCATGGCCCTGCCCTCACCAGAGCCAGGCTTGGGATTGGGATTGTGTACAACAATGATGAGAAAATGGCGTTCCTGCAGCTGCCTGGCGGTGTTGACACTGCTTGGTGCAGAGAGGGGCCCACACAGCGTTAGGGACCTGCTCCCATCTCAGCAGGACACACCCAGGTGAGCTTCGAGGTCCCGGATCTCCTGTCTCCCCCCAGCCTTCGGCGACTGCCTTCTGACTGGTTAGGACACTGTTACCAGCACTCACCTCACCGAGAGCTGGCACTCCTCGTAGACGGGCACTCTGTGTTC